AGAGAGAGGTGAAGACAGAGACCTGAGAGAGATGGAGACAGAGATGCAGAGAAAGAGGACAGAGACGCAGAGAGAAATGGGGACAGAGACGCAGAGAAGGAGAAGGGCAGAGACCCACAGGCAGAAACCCAAAGAGGGAGACAGAAATCTGGGGTGGGAACCTTTGCAGATGGGGAGGAGTACAGACACCCAAGGTGGGGGGTCTGTGGCCTATCAAGGGGGTGGATAGGGAGTGGGGGTGGGGCTGAGACCCTGGTAGGGAGTGATAGTATGGAGAGGGACGTGAAGATTTAGCCTGGGACAGTGGGCAGGGTGGGCCGTCAGTCCTCTCTGGTGGCTACTGCTGCTGTGCCCCTCCCCCCTCCTTTTGCTCAACTGGTGGTCTCGCGCCTTCCTCCCTCTCATGCTGTGAAGGGCTCCTCTTCCTCTCCTCTGGTTTATGTTTCCATTTCCTGGCCTTCATGTGGCCTGCCTGCTCTCTTTGTGTCCCTAAGTCTTCATTTCCTGTTGGAGATTTTCACGTCCATTTTCTTTTCTTCATCCTTTGGATTTCCTGTTCCCTCTTGGCCTGAGACCTTCGTTTTCCAGCCCTCTGGGTGTGAGGGGATTGTTTGTGTGTCTCTTTTAGATTTGAAGACAATCAGTTCTTGTTCCTTTTTGTACCCAGAAACCTTCCATTCCTTCCTCTCTAGGTCTAAAAACCTTCAATTTTGGCCTTTTCTGGATCTTCTCTGTTCCTCCCTGTTCTGTCTAGACTAGGAAACATTCACCTCCTATTCCCTCTGGGTCTGAAACTCTCATTTCCTGTCGCCTGGACATCCGGGAACTGCCACTTCTGGCTCTTTCTTGATCTGGAAGCCCTCATTACTGTCTCTTATTCTGGGTGGGGAAACCCCTCTTCCGCTCTAGGGCTGGCTCCTTCGACTTCCGGTTCCATATCCATCTCTTTGCCCCCATTGCTCAGCTCAGGGTGGCCGAGCTGTATGGGCTGGTAGGGAAGGGAGGTGGGGGAGTCCACTCACTTCCTGGACTAAGTCATGTTTTCTTTCCTCCTTTGGCATCCTCCCCTACCCCCACGGGCAGGCTCTGAATGTGGTAAGTGCTGCTGCCCATCCTCCCACCCACTCTTACGATTGCCCCATCCCTGAGGAGAAGCAGAGGCTGCCGTGAGAGGGAGTTCATCCCTCCCCCAACCCTTTGCCTTGACTCCCCAACTCTGCATCTTCTCATCCCTGCCCCACCCCTGTCATTGTCCCATCTGTGCTGTGTTGACTGGGATGCCCCACTAACATGAACTTCCACCTTTTCTTCCAGGACCAGGTTTCCAAGGACAAGGCTTTCCAGACAATGGCTACCATGTCCTCCGCCCAGCTCATCTCTGCCCCTTCCCTGCAGGCCAAACTGGGTCCTGCTGGTCCTCAGGTGCCCGGGTTGAGGATTGTGGGACTTGGGCCTGGAGCGGATGGGGCTGCAGTGGCCAACAGGGTACTGACCGACTCCCCCTTCTTTGTCTTCTCTCCAGGCCTCTGAGCTTTTCCAGTTTTGGTCAGGGGGCTCTGGACCCCCCTGGAATGTTCCAGAGTGAGTACTTTGTGTTCTGGCTCAGCACCTGCCCATCCCCTCTCCCCCACAGGCCTTTCTCACTCTACCTTCCAGTCCCTGTCTCCCTTTTGAACACAGATTCTGGAACCAGGCTATCTGGATTGGAATCTTAGCTCTGTCCTTTATTGGTTGTGGGCCTTTGGGTAGGTGAGGTCAACACTCAGAGCCTCATTTTCCTCATCTCTAAAATGGGGATATCAAGAGTACCTCCCTCACAGCATTGTTGTTGGAATAAATGAGTTTAAACTATGTGGGCAGTGATTAGGGTAGGACCTGGCAGGCAGTGAGCGTTCAGGAGTAGATCTGAGCTGGGATAGTGAGGAGGATCTCAGAGAGAGGAGGAGGAGAAGCAAGAACAGGATTAGGGCCTGTGGGCTGGGAAGGAGGGAGGAGGCAAGAAGAACATCTGGGCTTTGGTGACTGGAGTTGGTAGGACAGCCTGGAGATGTGTGAGCTGGGAGAGGAGTGGGTTTGGGGATAAAATGAGCTCAGCATGGGACCCCATGAGTGGGAGGAGCCTGGAGGATGCCCATGGGAATAATGGCCTCCCGGTGGGATTGTCTGGGCCCCAGAGGCTCATGGGAGATTCACTTGTAGGGCCAGAGACTCCCAAGAGGAGGGAGTGGAGCCCCAGAGGCTCATGGGAAAGGCAGTTGTAGGTCCAGAGGCTCCCAGGAGGTGGAGTGGAGCCCTAGAGGCTCATGGGAAAGGCCACTGTAGGTCCAGAGGCTCTCAGGAGGAGGGAGTGAAACCCCAGAGGCTCATGGGAAGGGCAGTTGTAGGTCCAGAGGCTCCCAGGTGGTGGGAGTGGAGCCCTAGAGGCTCATGGGAAAGGCCATTGTAGGTCCAGAGGCTCCCAGGAGGAGCGAGTAGAGCCCCAGAGGCTCATGGGAAGGCTTGTTTTCAACCCACTGTGGTTCTTGGGCCCGAGGGTAGAACCAAGGTTATCATCTTCTCTCAGAATCAGAAGAAAGAAAATGGGTTCCAGAGATACACGGGAGTGTCCTTGTCAGCTCTGAGAGAACCCTGAGGTAACAGGATATGTTTCTATCCTAGAATAGAAATGGGCCTCAGAGTCTCATGGGAAGTGCATTTTTCAGCCCAGAAAAGAGCTAATAGATCCAGGCTAGGCATTGGTAAGGTGGCATGGCCGCAGGACAGTGACGCAGGAGCACTGAGGGTATTTTCAGAGAAAGGGCAAAGTGACAGGCTGTGGAATCAGACTGGGAGAGAAGAAAGTTCACTGGGGAGCTGCTGTTGGATGGGGACACAGGAAAGCATCAGAACAAGTCCCCAGGGGCTCAAGGGGACTGAGCTGCAAGGAGGGGCTGTGGGGCAGGTGCTGGGGCTTCCGCTTTCATGAAGCTGTTAGTCAAACGAAGAGAATGTTAATTAAATCATCACCTGCATAAACACAAAATTGAAGAGGGTGAAGTGATATGAGGAACCACAGTGGGTTCTGTGGTGGAGGAGAAAGTTCTGGGGGTTTCTCTGAGGAGGTAACTTTGAAGGCTGAGTAGAACTTAGCCAGGTGAAGAAAGGGAGTAGGAATATTTTAGGCAGAGAAATATAACTTTATATGTTTGGGGAGGGGAGGAGACAGATGATAAACATGTAAACAATTAAAAGGAATAAATATAAGAAAACAGGATGTACAAGCTCCATTTTAGACAGGGGTACAAGGATCAGGAAAGGTCTCTCAGGAGGAGGCATTTGAAAATGACTTTGATGGTGAGAGGTTATATTATGTCAATGAGCAGAGTGTTAGAGTTTAGATTTCAGAATCTTGGGATTGTGTTGACAAGGACTAGGACAGGGCCTCTGGGGGTTAGGGTCTGAAGGTCCTTGGAGTTTGTCTTTCTGATCCTGGTCTCTTGACCTTTTCCCTGATCTCTGACCCCCGCATTCTGTCTCCCTGACTTCAGACTTCTTTTCTTTTCTTTTTTGAGTTGGAGTCTCACTCTGTCGCTCAGGCTGGAGTGCAGTGACATGCTGGAGTGCAGCCCAGCCTTGACCTGCTGGGCTCAGATGATCTTCTGCCTCAGCCTTCCAAGTAGCTGGAACCACAGACATGTGCCATGACGTCCGGCTATTTAAAAAAATTAGAGATGAGGTCCCACCACATTGCTCAGGCTGGTCTCGAACCCCAGAGCTCAGGCAATCCTCTCGCTTCCGCCTCCTGAAGTGCTGGGATTACAGACTTGAGCCACCACACCCGACGACTTCAGACTTCTAAGTCTTCTCACCGCCATCTCCTGGGTTTACCTCTGAGCCACTGGAGCTATATCTGATACTGTAGCCACTAGTTACATGTGGCCATTTAAATTAAAATTAGGCCAGACGCAGTGATTCATGCCTGTAATCCAGCACTTTGGGAAGCCGAGGCTGTAGGATCACTTGAGCCCAGGAGTTCGAGACCTGCCTGAGCAACACAGTGAGACCTGGTCTCTACAAAACAAACAAACAAATAAATAAAATTAAAAATCCGGTTCCTCAACCACACTAGCCATACTAGTGCTCGGTAGCCACATGTGGCCAGTGGCTACCACATTGGATGGCACAGATGTGGAACATTTCCATCACACAGAAAGTTATGTTGGACAGTGCTGCCTTCCCAGCCCAACTTTTGGCCTCATATCCCATCTCCTCACCCCTCAGCCTCTTCTTTCTCCAAATCCCCTGTCTTCTGTGTCTTTCCTCCACCTACCAAGACCTGGTTTCGCTTCTCTTTCTGACATTTTGTGAGAGGTACCAAAATGCCATCATCAAGATCATGGGCTTTGTGGTCGAGGCTGACCTAGGTTCAAGTCCGGGCTCCACTGCACACCAGCTGTGTGACTTTGGGCAGGTCAGTTGACCCCTCTGTGCCTCAGTTTCCTCATTTGTAAAATGAGAAGAGCGGTAATTCCATCTATCTCATAGACTGGGAGGCTTTAGTGGGATTTGCACGGAATGTGCTAGCACAGAGTCTGGCTTGTTGTGGCCTCTCGGTTAATGTTAGCTTGTACAATTAGCATCTTTATACCTTGCTGACCCCTGGCTTCCTTTCTCCCTCAGCGTGAAGCCATTCTCACAGACACCATTCTCCTTATCACTGACTCCCCCATCTACTGACCTCCCAGGTAAGAGCCCACTCTTCACATTTTCTCTCTTTGACCCAGCTGCCTTTCCTTCCTCCTTCCATTAATCAGGGACACATTCTTACTAAAGTCCAACTCTGAGGCATGGTGTGTGTGTGTGATGGGGGAGAGTAGGGCTGAAGAGGTGAGTGGCGGAATTTGGAGTAGTTAAGAACATGGCCTCGGAAGCCAGACACATACTGGGTTTGTGTTCTGCCACTTCCTAGCTTACGAGATATTGGGCAGGTGAGTTGGTCAAGATCCTTTCAGCCACAAGTGACAGAAACCCAAATCAAGCTAGCTGAAGCAAAAAAGAAAAAAATTTTTTTGAGTTGGAGTCTCCAGGCAGGGATGCAGTGACCCGATCATGGCTCACTGCAACCTCATCTCGGGTCAGGTGATCCTTCCACCTCAGTGTCCTGAGTAGCTGGGATTACAGGCATGTGCCACTACACTTGGCTAATTTTTCGATTTTGTGTAGAGGTGAGGTCTCACTATATGGCCTAGGCAGGTCTTGAACTCCTGGGCTCAAGCAATTCTCTCACTTCAGCTTCTCAGTGTTGAGATTATAAGAGCCACCACACCCAGCCCCTGAAGCAAAATTTTGTAAAAGGAAGAAGAAACATTTATTGATTTATTAGTTTAAGTGACTGATAGTTCAGAATTATGGCTTCAGGCATGGCTGGGTCCAGGGACTCCAATGGTAACATCAGGAATTGCTTTGATCTACTTTGGTGGTTTATTGATTTATCAATTAAGAATACTTTTGGCTACACCTGTGTTGGCTAAGCAGCTCAGCAATATTAGGCATCTCTATAGTTCCCTCGGCCTCTGTCTTATTATCCCAAGATGGCTGTGTAACTCCAAGCATCATGTCCCAAGCAGGACTTGGCCGGGGCCAAAAGCTTTCTCCTCCCAAAGTTCTGTCTTTTTCATTCAGGAAGAAACTCCTTCCCAGAAGCCCCCCAGCAGATTTCCCCTAACGTCTCATTGGCCAGGACTGTGTCACATGGCCACTTCTAGCTGCAAGGGAGGCTGGGAAAGTGAGTATTTAGCTTTTTCAGCTTCTAAGTGGAGGCAGGCAAGAGAGAACAAAACCTGATATATTCAATAAATGTTAGCAATTTTTATTGTCTTTTCTTCTCTCTCTCTAGGGTACGAACCCCCCCAGGCCCTCTCACCCCTACCCCCACCTGCCCCATCACCCCCAGCCTGGCAAGCTCGAGCCCTGGGTACTGCCCGGTTGCAGCTAGTGGAGTTCTCAGCTTTTGTGGAACCACCGGATGCAGTTGACTCTGTGAGTGAAATTTTGGGATAGTTACTGAGGGATTTTGAGGGTAACAAGGAGGGAAAGCATACAGTAGTAGTTCTCAAATTTTAGCATCAGAATCCTCTGGAGGGCTTGTTAAAACAGATTGCTGGGCCCCATCTCTAGAATTTCTAATTCACTATAGATGTGATGTGGGGCTTGAAAATTTGCATTTTTATTTTGAGCACTTTTTAATGGACTTTTTAACCTTTTTAATATTTTCTTTTGTGAGGTGTTTGTTAATGTCTTTTTTTATTTTTTATTTTATTTGTTTATATTTTTTTCTTGAGTTGGAGTCTCATTCTGTTGCTTAGACTGGAGTGCAGTGGCTGCTCCCGGGCACTGCAGCCTCGACCCGCTGGGCTCCGGCGATTCTTCCGCCTCAGCATTCTGAGTAGCCGGAATTACAGGCGTGCGCTACCACGCCCAGCTGATTTGTTTATTTATTGTAGAGATGAGGTCTCGCCAAGTTGCCCAGGCGGGTCTCAAACCCGCGGGCTCAGGCAATCCACCCACCTCAGCCTCCCAAAGTCACGGGATTACAGGCAGAGCCACCGAGCCCGGCTTTTTTTTAATTATTTATTTATTTATTTTTTTGAGTTGGAGTCTCACTCTGTCGCCCAGACTAGAGTGCAGTGGCACCCTCCCTGCCACCACAGCCTTGACCTGCTGGGCTCCTGTGATCCTTCCGCCTCAGCCTTCCAAGTAGCTGGAACTACAAGTGCACGCTACCACACCCGGCTAATTTTTTGATTTATTGTAGAGACGAGGTCTCGCCAAATTGCCTGGGCTGATCTTGAACCCACGGACTCAGGCAATCCTCTCATCTCGGCCTCCCAAAGTGCTGGGATTACAGGCTGAGCCACCAAACCCAGCTGAAAATTTGCATTTTTAATCAACTCCCAAATGATGTTGCTATGACCTGTCCAGGGACCATATATACTTTGAGAACTACTGGCATAAAGGAACTGGAATGTCATGGAGTCATGGGATAGGAAGGTCAGAAAAACTCCCCAAGATTTTGTTCATTCAGTTATCAAACATAAGTTTATGTTTCTACTGTTTGCTAGGCATTATAATGCATACTAGCAACTTATTTCTGGGCTAGGAGGGAGACATACTGTAATAGTCAGGATGGGATGATGGTTGGAAGAGACAACTTCTAACTCTTAAGGACTGGACACTATAGAAATTTCTTACTCATATAACATTTCAGTGTGGGTTCAGCAGCAACCTTCCACACAGTGATTCAGGGACCTGGGCTTTTTCCATTTTGTGGCCCTGCCATTTTCTAGGGCTTTAGAATCTGCCAATGGTTTCTCTGCATCTGACCCGCAGATGGAGGAAGGGAAAGAGTCAAGATTGTGCAGGAGGTTTTATGGTCCTGGCTTGGATGTATTAACTGTCAGGTCTGGTCACATCTCATTGGCCAGAATCTAGTCTGTGGTCATACCTAACTGCAAAGGAGCCTGAGAACTGTGGTTTAGCACTATATAAAGGAACCAGGATTTGTGAACACATAGCAGTTTCTGCCACACCATATAAACACTAGTCAAAACACTAGTCACTATATATGGTGATCCTGGCAAAATCCACATTGGATCAAGTTAAAACACATCTCACTTGAAATAAAAGTGAAACTTCTTTCAGTTGCCTGCAAGGCTCTGCACCATCTGACCCTTGCTCCCACTCTGCCCTCACCTCCTATACTGTTACCCTTGCTTACTCTCCTCCAGCCACACTGACCTCCTTGTTCTTTTCTTAGACATGCCCACTCCTGCCTCAGGGCCTTTGTACCTGCTATTCCTGTTGCCTGGAATGTGCTTTCCCCAGATATCCCCATGGCTCACTCTCTCCTTTCATTCAGGCCTTTACTAAATTACCTTCTCAGACAGGCTTTTCCAAAATGCCTTATGGACAATATCAGCTGTCATCACTTTCAACCCCCTTGCTGTACTTTACTATGGTTTTTTTTAATAGCGTACAGTACATCAGCCCCTGAAATATATATTATCTACTGGTTGATTTTTAAATTTTCTGTCTCTGCTAGTAGGTTGTGAACTTCATGAGTTCAGGGACTTTGTCTTGTAGCCCTGGGACCCAGAATAGCGCCTGCACATAGTAGGTCTCTTGGTAGATGTCTGTGAAGTATATGTTGGGATAGGGAAGCTCAAGTTTTTATGGGTATACAGAGTAGTAGTTCTGCTTGGAAAGGTTGTGAAGGTTTCCCTGAGATGACAATATTTGAGTTGGGCTTTGAGGATTATATAGAAGTTTGTCGTGTGTAGAATTGGATGCACTAGGTATAGAGATGGGCAGAGTATGGACTTTTCAATGAAACAAAGACCATGGAGGAGCTGGTGAGACAGCAGCTAGATGGGCAGGTGCTGGTTCTGGAGGAGCTGCCAATGCCTAGTTGAGGGACTCAGATTTTCTCTTGAGGCCAATTGGGAACCGTGAAAAGGGTGGGGTAAAGATATCGCATCTGATTGTGATTAAGGGGGGCTTCCAGGAGGAGGCAAATTTGGACCTGGGAAGATGGAAGGAGGATTTGTCTTGGAGCAGAAGATGAAGAAGTCAAGACAAGAGGTCATGAGAATGGGGACAGATAGGGAGACTTGGATGTGGGCTGTGTGAATGCTCATTCATCCATCCTTCGAACATTCATGAGCACCTGTTGTATACAAGGCCAGGTTGAGGGGGCGTGGACCTTGTCCTGGGGGCGTAAGGGAACCGTGGGAGGACTTTGAGCAGCAGAGAGCCAGGGGCAGCCCTGGCACCACGTGAGGGATAATAAACTGGAGAGGAGAGACTGGAGGCTGGGGCAACCAGGGACGAGGCTGAGGTCGGAGCTGAGGGGATGGAGATGCAGAGATGGGGCAGGAAGTTGGGAGCTGAGGGACATGGGAGTGCAGGGGCAGGAGGGGGTGAGGACTGTGCCTTGGGTCGGGCCCAGTGCTGGATGGACAGTGCAGAATGACTGGCTGGAGCTGTGGAGATGGTGACGGGGAGGGTGGGCTCAGGCCGCGAGGGCTGGAGGTCCAGCCCACCTCCCACTTCTCATCTATGGCTGACCCTCCTCAGTACCAGAGGCACCTGTTCGTGCACATTAGCCAGCACTGCCCCAGCCCTGGAGCGCCCCCCCTCGAGAGCGTGGATGTCCGGCAGATCTATGACAAATTCCCTGAGAAGAAGGGGGGTCTGCGAGAGCTGTATGACCGTGGGCCCCCACACGCCTTTTTCCTGGTCAAGTTCTGGGTAAGTTCCAGCTACAGAACCAGAAGTGCTTCTAAGTCACGTGTCTTCCCAACGAAGGCCTCTGGCTCCAAGGGAGATCATCTCAGGACCTGCCAGGTCACCCCAGGCCTTACAAGTCAATTCCCATGGCCCCCAGGGTAGAAGGGAGGAAGTACTTGGGCCTTCCTGGATGTCACTAGACTTTGTCATACTTGGTCGTGTGACTTGATATGGCCCTGGGCATTGGCTTGCCAAGTTGCAGACTTCCCTATGCCGCACCTGACCACACCAAGCCTTGTGGCTAAGAAATGTGCCCTCTCCACCACCCCCAGCAGCCCGTGGAGTCATGGAGGATTCTGGTACACCAGACCCTGTTGCTGGAGAATGTCTGGTTTTGAGGAAGTGATTGAAGGAACCAAGGAGTGACCTTGTAAAATCCTGTATTTATTTATTTTTTTTTTGAGTTGGAGTCTCACTCTGTCGCCTAGACTGGAGTGCAGTGGCCGCTCCCGGCCACCGCAACCTTGACCTGCTGGGCTCCAGCGATCCTTCCACCTCAGCCTTCCAAGTAGCTGGAACTACAGGTGCGCGCTACCCACGCCCGGCTAATTTTTTTTTGATTTATTGTAGAGATGAGGTCTCGCTAAGTTGCCCAGGCGGGTCTTGAACCCATGGGCTCAGGCAATTCACTCACCTCAGCCTCCCAAGGCGCGGGATTACAGGCTGAGCCACCGAGCCCTGCTAAAATCCTGTATTTATATAACAATTATTTATTGAGCCCTTCCTATATACAAGCCCAATATCAGGTGCTTAGTCACAATGTCATTGTGTCTAAGAGGTCCGTCTTAGGTCTTTCTTGGGCCTATTTGGTTTGATGTCCAGTACAATGACTGACACGACAGGGGCTCAAAAAATGTTCAATGCTTGTTTAGGTGTGTTAACTCTTTTTTGGGGTTGCACTCTGTTGCCCAGGCTGGAGTGCAGTGGCACGATCATGGCTCACTGCAGCTTTGACATCCTGGGCTCAAGCAGTCTTCCTGCCTCAACCCCTCAAAGTACTGGGATGCTAGGCATGAGCCACCACGCCCACCTGTAGGCGTGCTAACTATTGCAGTAAACGGGCCTATGGAGGGATATAGTCTCTGAGAAGGAAGCCTCCCGAGGGGCTTATACTTTACAGATCTTGCTGGGCATGTAGCCATCATGGTTATAAAGCTTCCTGGTATGTAAAATAGAAGCCTGAGACTGCCCTAGTGATGTGTTGCTGAGGCCTTAAGCATTGTTAGGGCTTAAGACAGGCCCCAGCAAATCCCAGGTCTGGAGCGCCCACCCCTTAGGAAGCCCAGCTTCTGCAGGGGTTCAGGGGAGCAGCTGGTAAGGCCTCAAGGCCCTGTTGCTGGGGAGACAGATGGAGTCAGGGCTCCGAGAAGAGTGACTTGGCAAAGTGTTAGCAACTAAAGTTATGAAGAAGAAGAGGTGTGTACCTCAAGGAGGTGACTCAGACCAAAGGTCTTAGGCTTCATTAGGCCCTACTTGACCTAATGATACTTGACTGACTGTCTACGTACTTGGCCACCAGAGTTATGGCCACCAGAGTTAGAATGGGCTGAAAGGGTTGGGGGAAAGTGGTCTGGAGAGGATTCAGCCTCCTCAGCCCTGTGAGGGCCCTGTTGCTAGGAAGTAGCTAGCCACTTGCCTTAGTAACCAGGGTGTGAAGGGCTCTGAAGGAGGTCATCCAGCTTCAATTGTTTGCTAATTGGTTACTAAGGAGGAATAACTGCCTCCTTAGTAACCAGGTCCTTGGAAGAGGCTGAACTCTTAAGTTGGTGGCTTCAAGAGAAAAAAGTTGGTCAGGCATGGTGGCTCATACCTGTATTCTCAGTGCTTTAGGAGGCTGAGGTGGGAGGATCGCTTAAGGCCAGTTTGAGACCAGCCTGAGCAACACAGTGAGACCCCATGTCTACAAAAAAATAAACAAATTAGCCAGGCATGGTGGCACGCACCTAGAGTCCCAGATATTCGGGAGGGTGAGGCAAGGCAAGATGATCACCTGGGCCCAGGAGTTTGAGGCTGCAGTGAGCTATGATTGTGGCACTGCTCTCCAGCCTGAGTGACAGAGCAAGACCTTGTCTCTAAGAATAAAAAAACATAATAAATTAAAAAAAAATTTAAAAAACAAGAAAAAGATGAAAAGAGAGCAAAAGCTGAGGAAGAGAGGTCGGCAACTGCAGAGATAATGTGGGAAACCAGGCTATGGGGCAGATTCCCCACTGTCTATAAGGGACTTCTTGGATTCCTCTGTGCCTTCCTGTCTACCAGGCGGACCTGAACTGGGGCCCAAGTGGCGAGGAGGCAGGGGCCGGTGGCAGCGGCAGTGGCAGCGGCAGCAGCAGCGGCGGCTTCTATGGAGTGAGCAGTCAATACGAGAGCCTGGAGCACATGACTCTCACCTGTTCCTCCAAGGTCTGCTCCTTTGGCAAGCAGGTGGTGGAGAAGGTGGAGGTGAGGCTGGAGGGGTGGAGCTCTGGGTGGGTGAACGCCCAGCCACCCATCACTCTGGGGGTGCAGAGTGGACCAGGAGCTAAGATGGTTCAGGCATTTGGGGGTCCTAGCCTCTTTGAGGGTTTGATGCATGAATTTAGAGCTAATAGGGAGTTCAGAAGTCACAGGTCGGGACAGAGATCTAGCGTCACTAACATTCTAAAGGTTCTTATGATTATGGAGAAGTTCATAGGGCAAGAAGGTTCAGAAGTCACACATAGGGATTGTTGGGGACTTGAGGGAATCTCAAGTTCAGAGTCCAGCATTTGGAGAGATCGTGGAAGGGTCTTTGGAGGGTTTGGAGGCTGAGGGCCTGGAGGTCAGAGGAGTTCAGAGGTCGTTGAAGGAGCGTCCCTTTGAGGGACTGGAGGGGTTTCCGGTTTGCAGGCTCAGAGGTCCTAAGTTGGACACCCGAGGGCGGGGTGGGGTGGGTGATGGAGGGGATATGGCAGTGGGAGTGAGTGTGGCATCTGAGAGGCACAGGGTGGAGCACAGTTCCTGGGGTGACCTGCGTGCTTCTCAGCCACCATCCTCCCCACTCCCTGACCCCGGTTCAGACGGAGCGAGCCCAACTGGAGGATGGGAGATTTGTGTACCGCCTGCTGCGCTCACCCATGTGCGAGTACCTGGTGAATTTCTTGCACAAGTTGCGGCAGCTGCCTGAGCGATACATGATGAACAGCGTCTTGGAGAACTTCACCATCCTCCAGGTGACGTGGCGGGGCTGGGCCAGAGCAGGGACCCTGATCTGGGACCCCTGTCTAGTGGACCTCTTCACCCACGGAACTGATACAGCAGGGACTCCACGGTGATCCCTCAGCCTGAGGCCCTTCTAACCAGGAAATGGATGCAGTGGGGACCCCACAGTTGATCCTCGAAACTGATAGGGCGGGGACTTCACAGCTTTCTCTTCATAAGAGGATCCCTCCTTCACTAGGGAAGAGAACACGGGGAAACCTCAGGGTGGGTTCTCAGCTTCCCAGGGAGCCTAACCTTAACTCAGGAGACATGGTATGTGGTGGGAGCCCCTTTAACTTTGGGGAATGTGTTCAGGTAGAGACCCCTTGAGTGGGACCCTGTGAGGGTACTCCCTTTACCTGTGACATGGTGGGTACACCTTTAACCTGGGGAATGTGATGTGGGAACCTCATTAACCCCGAGACATAATCCACCATTTGATGTGGGGCCCCTCACTGCCATCCCTCAGCTTAGGTACCCCCATTGTTCAGGGCACCTACCATGTTTGGTATCCCTTTCACTTGGGGAACATGGCATGGCAGGGACCCAGAGGCCAGCTGGGTGTCCGGTGATAGCTTGGGGAGGGCACAGTGGTCCCTGCCTTCCTTTCCAAGCATGAGCCTATTCTGGCCTCTCTGGCAGGTGGTGACAAACAGAGATACCCAGGAGCTGCTACTCTGCACCGCCTACGTCTTCGAGGTCTCCACCAGTGAGCGTGGGGCCCAGCACCATATTTACCGCCTGGTCAGGGACTGAAGGGGGAACCCCCAAAATGGCTTGCCCCTGGAACAGTCCCCTCCCAGGAAAGGCCCTTTACCTCTCCTTATGCTTATTTGGGGAGGGGCCTCTGATGTAAAGAGGTTGCCCTCAGAGGCCTAGGAAACTGGGGGCTGCCCCCTATTAGAGGGGGCCCCAAAACTTGATTGGTGAGCTGAGCAGGCTGGGACTGAGAAAAGGATAAACCCCGATATTGGGACCTCACAGGGGGTGTCTGAAAGGACAGAACACTCCAGAGCATCAGGGATTGACGACAGGAGCGAGACAGCCCCAGGTACAGCACTGGCTCTCAGCCTGACAGGGCCCCCTTTCCCATACTTGGAGGTTGGAGGTTTTGGAGGTTACGTTGGGTTGTCCCCTTCCTGTTTTCCAGCCCCCTCCCCCCAAATTTCTGCCTCTCCTTACTACCCCTACTCCATGACCTGTGATATCACAAATTGAAGATGAATCCTTTCTGTTCAGGAGCAGAGTCAGGTGGGCCCTGGAAATATTTTTTTTTAATATAACGAGATATTTATAAGTGGGTGTTTAGGATCTTGACTTTATCTTAACTTCTCAAACACTGAGGTGAGACTTTCTCATCCCATCCCCCTCCTTCTGAGTGAGCCGCGAGCTCGACTGCTTCTTCCCTTCCTTCCCGAAGTGTGTGGGTTTGTGTTCTGATAGAGGATAAAGCTATTTTACCAAAATGCGGGGGATTTATTTGAAGTTTGGGCGAAACATAATCTTGTGGGAGGTAGTAGGCTAAGAAAACGAAGTCTCTTTGTGGGCAGGAAGCTGGTGGACGGAAGCCCCGGGTCCCACGGGAAAGGTGACAGCCGCGGGGCAGGCAGACACCTGGGTCCCCAGGGGCATGAGGCGGCGCAAGGCTCAATGCCTGGAGGTTAAACAAGTGTTTACAGGCGGCAGGGAAGTGCTCAGAGCGCCTCAAGGGGTCGGGGCACGACTCTGGGAAGGGCGGGCCCTAGCGGTATCGAGCCAGCTGGTTGTAGACGTGGTCCAGGTTTCTGCACAGGAATATCGAGAGCGTCATGAAGCCGAGCTATAGAGAAAGGAGACGCGGTCAGAGGGCCGAGGGATGCGGGCGACCGGGAGGCGATGCCCTTCTATCGGGAGGAAAGTCAGGGTGGGGCCGAGAATTGGACGGGACGGGACTGGAGAAGGAATTGGGTGGAACTGGGCGGGGCCAGAGGGTGAACTGGAGAATAGCTGGCTGATGAGGCAGGAACAGCTGCGGCAAGGGGGAGCTTAGGGGAAACCCGGCTGCAGCAGGTGGGGATGTGGGGTCGGGGCGGAGTCTGAGAAGGAGTGAGGTCGAAAACAAGCCCAGGGTCCTTTATTCTGGAGGTTCATCTGTCTGTCTCTCCCTCGGCCTCAATTTCTGCGCCTGTACTCCCGGCATCGGGCTGCTCCTCGTCTTGATCCCACAGCGGCCAGGACCCCAGGGCCGTGGGCAGCTTCTTGCCCTGCGGGGCCTTGTCCCCCCAGTTGGGGCAGGCACCCGCCATTCCCCAGCCACCCCACAGACTGCCGCTACGCCCGCTGCTGCTGAGTGCACTACAGCGCCCGCCGCCGCCGTCAGCGATCGGGCTGGGCCGGGGGCTCGAACCGCCAGCGCCCGGCACCCGCGGCTCGGGTTCCCGACGGGGCACCCTGCGCTGCAGCTTCAGGACAAGCACCATGATACCCATCTGCGGGGAAAGGGGAAGGAGATTGCAGCCTGTAGCAGGAGGCTTTCCCTGCGTCTGGCCAACGGGGCTCACGGAAGCTAGGTCTCACCCGCTGCTCTCCCCAGATGGCGTGGCGGGAGGGCCGGGACCAGCTCCCGCTCCGTCTCGCACGCGTCCTTCCCGCACCACGAGAGGACGCGCGACTAAGGGCGGGGCCATCTAGGGATTATCGGGCAGATTGCTAGTGGGGGCGGGGCCAGATCACCTCGAGTAGACCGACGCCCAGACAGATGCCCACTATGGAAATGAGGTTGTTGTGCAGCCACTTCTGGAGGTTCTGCGCGCAGCCCTGGGGGTGTAGGGAAATGGTTAAGGGTGGGTTTTTTTCTGGGGTTCTCCCTCAAGTCCAGGCCCAGAGTTTTCAGCCCCGCCCACACCTCTCACAGGCATACTCTGGTCTCGGCTGCGCACCCTCACCTCACCTCTCCCCAGCCCTGCCCCTCCCTGCACGACAGTGCTCCAGACCCAGCCCCGCCTTTTCTTTAGGCCCGCCCGCGCTACAGACCACGCCCCCCATTGTACGGTTTCCTTGCTCGTAGCCCAGCCTTTCTTTGCAGACCCCGCCCACCTCTGGCCCCGCCTCCAGACGGCTCCGCCCCTCGCCGGCAGCCATGCCACTCCAGAGGCCCTGCCTGTCCCATTCGAACCGTTCAAGCTACAAACCCCTTCCTACCTCGCGGTAGATGTGGCTTTTTGCGGGGACCACGCAGAGGTCTGTACTGTGTCTGAGCCGCGCCAGTGGTCCGTAACGGCTGAGCTGGGGAAAGATCATCCTATCCAAGATTGCGGAGTCGTTGGTCGCCGACGAGTTGTAGCAGGAGCAGGGCACACCGTGCTCTTCCGACTGGTTGCCTCTCAGGATGGGGACCTGGAACCAGTCCTGCGGAGAATGCCAGCCGCAGCAGTGCAGCTGGGAGGGGGATACGAGTCAGAGGGACTGGGAACTGAGAAACGAGATGAGGTTGGGGATCAGGGGACAAGGTGATGGGTATGAGGTCATGTTGGAAAGCAAGGGGGCTAAGTGGTGCGTGCGGGGTGGAGAACAGGGCTGGAGTCGCGATGGGGCCAGGACCAGGGGACATTCCGAGAACCTGGGACTGGAAGAGTCGCGAGTCACGGGGTGACCTGGGGCTGGGGGAGGAGCTGCAGCCTCGTGCTGTGGACCGGAGATTGGGTGGGCCGTGCAATTGAGCCTCAGATAGGGGACAGGTGTGTGAGAGGCCATGTCAGTGACCAGGGAAGGAAGTCTCATCAAGGCCAGGGTCCCGTGGAAGTCAGAAAGTCACTAAGCGGTAGGAAGCCGGATCACTATACGGGTCTTGGGTCTAGGGACCCGGCCATGTGGGGCGGGGGCGGAGTCTCGTCGAGGTGGAGGGCGGGGCCACGCCAGGGTCTAGCTATTAGAGGACCGCGCCACGTTGGGGGCCAGTTATGTTACCATATGGGGGTGGGGCCACGCCGGGTCTGGCGGGGGTTGAGGTATTACGTTGGGGTCCTGGAGATCGGGGCTGGAGCCACGTCGGGGCAGAGTCTCCTCGGAGAGCTGAACCAGTTCAGAATCCGGGGGCTAAAGAAGGCCCACGCGTCCCGGTGGAGTGAATGAATGGCCACGCACCTGGAATTGCACGTAGTCCCAGCTTTCCTCCGCCGCTGTATCCTCCGGGTCGGCACGGTAGTTTTGGATGGTCTTTTTCACGATATCCTCCATACTTCGCTCCAGCTGAAAGGCGGCAATTGAGGCTGGGCCTCCCCTGCCCCGCCCCGCCCCAACCCCTCCCAGGCTGTGTCAGCCCCTAGGAGTCCCTGTGCAACTTTGTGTCCGCCTCAGTTTCTCACTGAATGGCTGGCTGTGTCTCTTCCTCTGGTCTGTCTATTCCTCCCATTATTTCTAGGTTGTATTAGTCCTCTGTTTCTTCTTCATTTCTCTCTCTCTGTTTCCCTTTGGTTTTCTTTGGGGGGGGCGAGAATTGGGGTCTCACTCTGGCCCAGGCTAGAGTGCAGTGGTATGATCATGTCCATCACAGCTCACCACAGCTTCGACCTCCTCTGGAGCTTTTTTTGCCTTTTTTCCTGCATTCATGTCCATGTGTCTTTCTTTAACTCTGTGTCTGACTCTATCTCTATCCTCTTGTTTGCATCTGTCAGTCTCAGTCTTTTTTTTTTTTTTTCCTTTGGAGTTGGAGTCTCACTCTCCCACTCTGTTGCCCAGTCTGGAGTGCTGTGGCACGCTCATGGCCACCGCAGCCTCGAACTGCTGGGCTCAGGTGATCCTTTTGTCTCAACCTTCCAAGTAGCTGGTACTACCACGCCTGGCTAATTTTTTTGATTTATTGTAGAGACGAGGTCTCGCCAAGTTGCCCAAGCTGGTCTTGAACCTGTGGGCCCAGGCAATCCTCTCACCTCGGTCTCCCAAAGTGCTGGGATTACAGGCTTATACCACCATGCCCGACCTCAGTCTCAGTCTTTTTGGCCTTTGCCTCTCTCTGTTATTTCTCTTTGTGTATGCCAGTCCTTGGCTGCCTTTGTTTCTGTCTCTCTCCACCCCTTCCCACAAGCCCCTGGCCCTCTCCCCCCACTGCTGGGGTGGTGGTGGTGGCAGTAAGCTCACCCGGACCCGCTGAGTAGAGATGAGGATTCCCAGGGTGATCTGTGTGGCAAACAGGAGCAGCAGCATCCCAAAATACTGGGGGGCAGAGTGGAGAAGTCAGGCTGACCCCCTTCCCAGGCTGTTTTCGAGGGAGGAGTAGGAGTGGTCCTAGGGATGGAGAAAGCTGGGGCACTCACCAGGCCCAGAAGGCAGCGGAGCTCTTTGAGGGCCCCCACACAACCTAGGAGAGCGAGACCCATGGTGAGGATTCCCGAGATGGACAGGACTTTGGACCAGATCTGCAGGGGCACGAAGGACAAGCCTGGAAGAGGTGAGAGGCAGGGACGGTGGGCCTGGTGAGCACAGCTCCAAGCAGCCCCAGCCCACCCAGGCAGCCACCCAGGTAGCAAGCAGTATTCTGGGTGGTCGTTCTCTGGACTCCTGGTACCTCTTTCTCTGGATCTCTGGCTGTGTTTCCAGGATTTAGTCCCTGCCCCACTCTGAGTCTTCATCTGGGACTTTCTCCTCCTCTCTCTGGGCCTCTGTTCCCCTCCTGTGCCTCCCCTCCAGCCTCTCTTTCTCTCTGTCTTTCCTGTTTGAGTCCTAGCCCTTGCTCTGTGACCTTGGCTCCCCCTTCTTAGGGGGAAGGTATCTGTTTCCTAGGGTTGCTTGAAGGACACATAGGAGCCTGTTCAGCCCAGTCCTCCACAGGGCAAACTTTAATTAAATATGAGCTATTGGGATTTAGATGATAATGCCATTATTACTTTCCTGTGGTTATTCATGTTATTCCTGCTCCTCTATTTCCTTGCTGCGAGACATCCAGCAAGGGACTTCCCCTCTCTGAACCTCAAAGAAAGGAAGGTTTGTGGGAGGATCTGACCAGCAACAGCACAAGATTCGTCATATAGGAAGTGCTTGAGAAATGGCTGTCATTATTATTATCGGTATGCACAAGCCTCTTTACCACAGGAAGACACAGGGTCTGAGAGGCACAGCCACGGCGAACAGGGGATCGGAGCCTGTGGCCTGCCTATGGAGATGGGCCCCAGGGGCCTCCCTGGGACAAGGGAGATCCCAGCTGGTTGCTCTGAGGGGGAAGCCCTCCCCAACTTCCTCAGTCCCCCTCACCCACAAAGGACACAAAGCTGGTCTTGTCGACGAGTATCCAGATGCCAAAGCAGAAAATAAGGCCACCCAGGACCTGGAGAGAGGGAATGAGAATATGGTGGTGGACAAAGGGGATATGAAGGTGGGGCTGTGACAGGGACTGGGGCCCGGGCTGGGTAGCCATGAGACAACTCACGAAGAAGAAGAGGTTGAAAACGAAGAGGAAGTACTTGATGAGGCTGAGGCAGCTCTCCTGGGCCGACATCTTCGCCTAGAGGGGTGAGTGGTCAGCTCACCAGACAGAAGAGGCGTCGACAGCGGGGGAGACAGGCAGAAAGACAGAGGCCCAGAGAGAAAGAGGGAGAGCTGAGTGAGGGAGAAAGGAAGAACAGAGAAAGAGGAAGTTCCAGGGGTGGGGCTCCACCCCCTCCCTCTTCAATCGAGGTGACTCTGTATCTCTCACCCGCCCCCCGCTGGGACATACAACCTGGTACCTGAGGAACCTTGGCATTCGTAGGGACCAAAGACTCGTGGGCCGGTCCCTCCCGGGTTCCCATGACTCAGACTGGGGGAACCATAGGGACTCCTTATCTACTTGCACCCACCCCATGGGCAGTGGGACCCCAAGGCTGGCCCTGGACGGCAGCTGACCTCACAGACACTCTGACCTCATGGCCTATTAAACTCTGCCATCTCTGCATTCAGCTCTCCTTTCCTGCCCTGGGTCTCTAGTTTCTCCTCTCTGGGTCTCTGTCCTTCTCCTTCTGGGTCTTTGTCCCCCATCCCTCACCCCCTATCTGTCCCTTTCTCTCAAAACCTCCCCCTCTTTCTCTGGGTTTCTGTCCTCCCTCTCTGGATCTCTGTCCTCCCATCCCCTGGGGTCTCTATTCTCCCCCTCTGGGTTTCTGGCCTCTTCCCTCTGGGTCCCTGTCCTCCTTTCTGTGCTTCCCTCCTCCCCCCACCTTGCCTTTGCCCATTGAAGTCTGCATCCTGTTCTAGACCAGGGGGCTCCCACGTGCTAGGGGGCAGGGGCTGGGCACCTGGGGGAAGTGAAAGTGCTTCAGGCCTGAAGTGGGAAGGTCCCTGGGAGTGGGGAGGGCAGCTGGGTAGGCCAACACACCCAGCGGAAACTGAGCCTCAAGCGGTACTTCCTGCCTCAGCTTTGGGGCCTGAGGGGAGGAGGTCCACAGGAGCCTAGATGGAGCCTGGGACCTTGACAGTCAGATGTAGGTTTGTAGTGCCTTATGCTGGTGCACACCCAGCAGCCTCTCTAGTCTCCCCTGACAGCTCCATTGGCTGCCCACTCTTGTCAAGTCTCAAGTTTCTCATAGATTTCCAACTTTGGGGGTTCTCCCACCATCCATTCATCCACCCATTCCCTGAGAAACCTGCCTCTCTGAGGACCCAACTCTTTCTCTGTCTTCTGCTTTTTCTGAATCTGTCTTCTGACCTCCAGCCACCTGTCCCCAGGGGCTCCCCCAAGATCTCCACCCTCACTACATCTCACACAGAACTCAGGATCTCCTTCAAATTCCATCGCCTTGTGTCCCCATCTGAGGCAGCCCCCGTGTCTACTCAGTCACTAGGCCAAACCTCCTGACCTGTGCCCCCTCCCCCAGCAGGCCCCTCCCCAACAGGCTTCCAGTCACTCCGCTAGATCCCTCCTGCCTTCTGATTCTCCACTCCACCCCTCATCTCTGTCCTCAGGGCTCAGGCTGCCTCAGGCTGCTCTTTTGCCTGGACCCTGATCCCTGGTTTCTCCTTGGCCTCTAGTCTTTCCAGGCCAGTCCCCACACAGCCCCAGAGGGATCTTCCTGAAATTCAGACCTGAGTCACACAGTTCTATGTCCAAATCGCAATTTGAGCCCTGAGTCAGCACCCCTTCATTCCTCACCTCCTACTAACCATCACAAACTCCTCCGTGCTCCACCACCAAAAGACATCGCAAGTCCACCCACTTCTCTCCAAGGCCACCATCCTAATCCTGGCTCCCACAAAAATAGTTATAGCTGATTATAGTGGATTCAATGCTGGCCACCAAAAACAAATGTCTATGTCCTTATCCTCAGAACTTATGAGTGGGACCATATGTATATATATATTGCAGACGTAATCACATTAAGACTCTCAAGATCATCCCGAATTACCTGAGTGCGTTCTAAATCCAATGACAATGTCCCTTTAAGAGACACATGTTAGGGTACGGACGGACTGGGTGAAGGTGGAGAGGCAAGGCGAGGCAAGCAGCACTGCCAGGGCTGGCAAGCTGGAGGTGTGCTCTGGGAACCCAGAGATCTGAGTAAATTGCAAAGAATTGTGACACACAGGTGAGAGAAGAAATGATTTATTTAAGAAAAGTTCAGCCCCACAGACAGGGAGTGGGCCTACACTCTAGGTGAGTGTGGCATCATAGCCCCCTAGAGTCCTGGCTCAAATCCTTCTCTTGGAGATGTTGCACGTGATGGCTGTGACTGCTGTGACTTCCTTATCGACCACCTGTGGATATCTTGGAGAATCTGTGACACAGAGACCCATTAATGTCCGCCCACATTATCATAGCCTCTAGAGAAGGGCATGACAAGGATTCTAATTCTCCTGTACCTTCCCAAACGACATTCCTTAGAGCTAGTGGAGGGTGTACCTCCCCTTATCTCCTAGGCATTCCCAGTGGGTAGCTTTGGGGGATCCTTGGCTTCCCTGTAGATAGTGCCCACTTTACTGGAAGATCGAATCCCCACCTACTCTCCCCCTGAGCAGTCATAACTTTTGTAATTACAAGTTTCATGACTTTTACAGTCCTTGCCCAATGCATGATGTCTTAGGCCTTGTAAATTCCCTTTACTCTAGGCAAGCTTGATTGCCACTATGAGATACCTCAGATACCTGGAAGTCTGTTTCTGAAAAGACAAAGTTGGTAAAGTTAATTATACCTAAAGTGTGCATTTCTCCAAAAGGACAGCTTCTATTTTCTCATCATTGTGTCAGGGTTTAAGAACAAGATGAAAAATGGCTTCCCACTCTCGGTCTGTCCTTTCAACACACAGAGAAGAAAGCACAGGAGAGCACCATGCGAAGACAGAGGCAGAGTTTGGAGTTCTGGCTGGACCCAGTGGCTTATGCCTGTAACCCCAACACCTTGGGAGGCTGAGATGGGAGGATTGAGCCCAGGAATTCAAGACCAGCCTGGGCAACATGGCGAGACCATGTCTCTTAAAAAAACAAACAAACCGGCATTTAGCGCATGCCTGTAGTCTCAGCTACTGGAAAGACTAAGGTGGGAGGATCACCTGAGCCCAGGAGGTTGAGGCTTTGATGAGCTATGATCATGCCACTGAACTCCATCCTGGGCAACAGAGTGAGACTCTTACTCAAAAAAGAAAAGAAAAAAAGGAGGTTGGAGTCCTGCAGCTCCAGTGTTATTTGCTCAGATAATTTCTCCTAAATTAAGTCTATGATCCTTCTCTTCTGTCATAGCACTTACTACAATTTATAATCATGATTATTTTGATAAATCAAATATCTATTTTCCTATTGTGTGAAGCAAAATGAGTGCAGGGACGAAGTCTGTTTTGCTCCTCACAGTATTCCTAGAGCCCAGCATTTGGTAGGCTCAGTAAGTGTGTGCTGAGGGATTGAATGGTTCCCACAGATTGTGATGAATTCTTACAGCAACCAGAAAATTTCCTCTAGATCTCTTTGCTCAGTCATGACAGTTTAAGCCTGTGATTCTCAAAGTGTGGTGTAGGGATCCCTGGGTCTCCTGAGACACTTTCGGGGGTCCATGAGGTGAACATTTTCTTTATTTTTTGAGTTGGGGGTCTCACTCTGTCACCCAGGCTGGAGTGCAGTGGCACAATCACTGCTTATGGCAGCCTTGACCACCTGGGCTCAGATAATCCTTCTGCCTAAGTCTCCCAAGTAGCTGGAAGTGCAGGTGTACACAGCCAGACCTAGCTAATTTTTTTTTGTCACTATGAAGTTTCACTGTGTAGCCCAGGCTGGTCTCAAATTCCTGGACTCAAGCAATCCTCCTGCCTCGGCCTCCCAAAGTGCTCAGATTACAGACTTGAGCCACCGTGCCCAGCCTAAAATTATATTCATAACACTACTTTCACTCTTATTTTCTCTTGGAGGTACAGTGATGTTTGCCGGAAACTACAAGACATGAACTATATTTACTGACCCAGTGCAGAAGCAGATATGAGACTCCAACTGTTTTCCATGAAACTACGCATTAAAGATATTTGCAAGAGTGTAAAACAATGCCACTCGTCTCACTAAAATTTCTTATAATGTGGAAATTACAGTTATTTTTTAATAAAAATGCTATTTATGTTGACACAATACATTTTAAAAATGAAAATGGCTATTTTAGAAGTTTCTGTTTTAATATTGATATAGGACGTAGACACACAACCCACATAAATATAACCCATAAAAATCAGTGGCGATCTTAATAATTTTTAAGAGTTCAAAATGGGTCCTGGCACCTAAAAGTATGAGAACAGATCACCTAAGTAAATCTTTCTTTGAGTATTTTATTCTTGTCTGCAAAGGCAGTAGATTTCTGAGCTCTCTTGAGACAAGCTCACTGCCTGCCTTGTTGGACGTATATTTAAGATTTGGATACTGGTAGGGCATCTTTAAGCGTCCAAGGTTTGAAGGCCAGAAGGAATGAATGGGAAAATCAAGCCTCCGACTTCACCCCCACGCCCACCTTACCAGGGCAGTGGTACACTCACGACCACCCCAGAGTCGACCCATGGGTTCCAGCGATCCTTCCGTCTCAGCCCTCCAAATAGCCCGAACTACAGGCGCGTGCTACCATGCCTGGCTAATTTTTGATTTATTGTAGAGACGAGGTCTCGAACCCGCGGGCTCAGGCAATCCACTCGCCTCGGCCTCTCAAAGTGCTGGGATTACAGGCTGAGGCCTCTTTTCCTTTCCAGGGGTCACAGTTGTAGGGAAGGAGGTCACTGAGGGCAACGGGCATTTCTGGAAGACTCTGAGTGCTCCCCGGGGGCATGGGCCTAGGAGGGGAGCTGCTTGGGTTGATGATGGGACCACCACCAGAGTCGCCCTCGCTGGGAAGAAGAGCCTGCCCGGGCCCAACGGGCTGTGTAGGTGTGGGAGGTGGCCAGTTGGCCCAAACTCAGTTCTCTCACTGAAGGGTCAAGTTGACTGATTTACCAAAAGACTTGTTTTAAGGACTGCTGTTCTTGAATGTGCTTGAGAAACGCGAATCTTTTTTTCTTTTTCCTTCTTTTCTTCCCTTTCTTCCTTTTTTTGAGTTGGGATCTCACTCACGAGTTCAGTGGCACGATGGATCACGCCACCACAGTTCACCTCAGCCTCGACCTCCTGGGCTCAGGCAATCCTCCTGCCTCAGCATCCTGAGTA